CGCTATAGTAAACAACAACAGCTTTCTAAACAACTGAACTGAGATGTTTTCCTCAAGCTTTTTTATCAGCTTTTTAAATGCACGAGAATTTTCTAGATTTTTCTGGATTACAAAAGAGTACAATTACGAGATATCTATTTTTTAAATGTGCGTGCTCTTGTATTTTTAATTTTTCTGACGCAGCTTTCTCTTCAAATAAGTCTCGTGCTGCATTGCACGCTAATTTAAAACAATTTTGATTAATTCTATTTAAAAATTTCTAAATCATTACAAAAACTGTGACAGTATTTTGTATTCCTTCAGCAGACAGTGAGTTAGCAAAGGTGAAATAGCTTAATTAAATGTAGCAAAGCTCAAGAGGGTTGATTCACAGAGGACATTCTAAAGAAATTGACTCGTTTCCTTTTTATACATAAAGAAAATTACAAAGACTTCCGTGCGTTTGTTTGGTTTATTTGATTATAGCAAAGCGCTCGAAGCCTATCTGCCTAAGGGGAGGGATACCTTCGTGGAGAACTTTCTAAGGAAAACTGGCTTCTACCCACTTTACACATGGGGAAAGCTACGAAAACACACATGCAGCCAGCCCGTTTACTAGGATTCAAACTCCGGACTGAACTACGAATATTCTACGATTTTATCGCTCCGTCGCTCGTGGGCCTTCCGTGCGGTCAGCTCGTGGGCCTTCCGTTTGCCTGAATATGAGCCTCGGTCACCACTACCACTCTTCAGCGATTTCACTGCTCGCCCGCATGTGGGCGATAAGTAAGCAAAAATAAGTAAATGAAAATTGTGTCCAAAGTACTAATGAAAAATTATTAATTTTATTTTCATAACTTTTTAAATCGTGCCATTTCAGCCTCTTTTATGTGGGTAAGAACGATTCCCATTTCAGCCTTTTCATTCAGTCGACGCAAAATCCGAACGCGCAATAGAAGGTCATGTGACTATGAAGTATGTATAAAGTGATGTCACAATACTTTTCGTCCTTTAAACTTTAGTCTTTTTATTTATTTTATTTTATTTTTTTGAGTAAGATACAGTATTACTGTTTTCAGGAAACAGAATTCTAAATCTTGAAACATCAAACTTAAAAAATCATATTGAAATAGAAAAATGAACATTTTTGAGGATTTGGCTAGCATTAAATCTCTATTAGAAATATAATGTTGTAGCGAAACATGAAAATCGATGCTACTGTCACAGTTTTTAATGAATTAGATTTATTATTTTATGGACTCTTAAAAATGTGACTTTCATCGTAGAGAAAAAGGTCAAACCATATATAATGAAGTGGGTTTTTAGGGCCTACTGCCTAATAGATTTTATTGTATGGCATTCAAATAAAGAAAATGTCTTCCTTTCGGCTGAAATAAATGTTCTTTATGAAAAGAAGCTTCTTTATATCCCCCCCCCAATTTTCCTGTCCCGAACGCAATTTATTTCCTAGTAATTTAAACAACAGGACTTTTAGCTTGCTCTAGCATCCTAACCGTACGTTCATTTGTTTGTCAACTGTGTGAAGTCTTAAGTACCCAACTCTAAATTGAATACTAATTCAGAAGTCAAACAACAAAAATCAGCGTTAATTTACAAAATTTTCACAGGACTAGTTTCGATGGTTTTACCGAACCATCATCTTCAGCTGCAAAACCAAATGAAAAAAAAAAATTTTTTTTCATTTGCGGTTTTGCAGCTGAAGATGATGGTTCGGTAAAACCATCGAAACTAGTCCTGTAAAAATTTTGTAAATTAACGCTGATTTTTGTTGTTTGACTTCTGAATTAGTATTTATTCGGCGTGTTATTGTGTCTTAATTCTAAATTGAATATTAAACTTTCATTTTTATTGTAAGGCATACATTTCGTTAAACTGAATAAAATTTTCAACTAATAATTTAAATTATTCACTTCCGAATCACATTTTGTTTCGACATTACTTAATATCTTAAACAATGTAAAACAGTCAAAACTGAAAGCAATGAAAAATATTCACTCGTGCTTTGTTGCTAGTTCACTTACCTGACCTATAGTCAGCCTAAGCCCACGAAAATCCTCGTGGCAAGGAGCGCAAATTCCCGCCTGTCATTCGCAACAGCCTTGAGCACTTTATAGGTGACAGTGCGATTTAGCTCAGCCCCCCCCCTCAATTTTGATGGAGAGCACCCCGGGACGACGGGTTCGAGAGTCTCCTGCCCCCCTCTTTTCTACCAGCAACCTCTCGAGAGGACTTTCAGGCTCGCTGCATACTTAGAATTCCCCCATGCCGCACGGACACTATACATTTACAAACATCCATGCCTTCGAGATTCGAACCCGGACCCTTCGGCACGGCAGTCAGCGACAGAAATAGGAAGCACAGACAGCTTTCAATCGGTAAAGTGTTAAAAGCGGAATTTCTTTGTTAGTTATAGCTGTAGATTGGCGCCAACAAGCGTTATATCTTTCTCGGGGAGCAGACATATGGGAATCCAATATAGTTGAATTAGACCTCACATGTGGCAGACTGCGCATTTTAATCTACAGCTAGCGGCTTTTTCTTTTGGCGTGAGTTCTAATATTATTGTTTGCATATGGAAAGATTGCGGACATATAGCATCATTGTGAATAGTGGTGAAATTATTAAAAGTATAGCGTAACTAGTGCTTGTTTGGGTTATTCGTGAAATATTTCAACCCCAAAAGGGCTACTAAAAAACGTAAAGTTGATTCAGAGTGCCGTGCTTTTAATCATGAATGGACCTGGAAATATTTTTTACAGTTGTAAAAGATAAACCAGTGTGTCTCATCTGCAACGAAGCTGTAGCAGTCTTCAAAGATTTCCCCTCATTTCACATCTAAACATAAGAATTCCAGTTATAAAGCAATGTCCGGATATGAAAGAAAACAAAATGCTCAGGCCGACAAAAATTTTTCAAGAAGGTAAACAGTATCCAAGAAGCAGCTACACGTGCAAGTTACATTGTGGCATACAATATTGCTAAAACTAATAAAGCTCTCAGTGATGGGGAGTCGGTTAAACAATGCACGCTCAAAGTTTGTGATGTTTATGTCCAGATAAGAAAAATAATTTTGAGACTGTTAGCTTATCTCGAAAAACGGTGCTTCTAGAATCGAAGACATCCATAAAAATTTTACATCACAATTAGAGTCAAAGATTGTCTAGTTTAAATTTTGCTCCATAGCTATGTATGAAAGCTGATATAAATATACTGATATAATTACTGATATAAATGATACTGCTCAATTAGTATTATTTATAAGACGTGTTGACGAGAACTTTGAAATTACCGAGGAACTAGCGTGCATGCCTTCTTTAAAGAGAACTACAACGGGATGTGACATTTTTCGTGAATTTCAGGAAGGGCTTTTAACTTTGAAAGTGCCTATGACGAATATATGGAATATTACGACCGATGACAGGGAAAAAAATCTGGATTTCTTGGACTCTTTAATCAAAACTATCCCGGGAACAATGTTGTTTTTCTACATTGTGTTACACATCAGTATGCTCTGTCTGTGTAAATCTGCACTGAATATGAAACCCGTGCTTGATGCTGTCAAGAAGCTTATAAATACTATTTGATCTCGTGGACTTACTCATAGGCAGTTTCGAGATTTTCTTCATTCCGTGCAATCTGAATACTCTGATGTACTGTATTACACGCTCCGTCGCTCGTGGACGGAGCGTAAGTAAGTGGCTTAGTGCAGGATGTGTTTTCGAGCGAGTTTGGCAGCTGACAGACGACATTGTGTCGTTCTTCCACGAGAAACTGTTTTGCGGAGTGCGAAAGGTTCGAAGATACAGAATAGCTTTCGGACTTTGCATTTTTTACCGATCTTCGTTGTCATATGAGCAATCTGAATGTCAAGACGCAAGAGAAAAATCAATTTATCGACGATATCTGGGCCCATCTCAAAGCTTTTAAACTAAAACTTAATCTGTTCTGGGCAGCTAGCTAAGAACGACTTGTCGCATTTCCCGAGGTTAAATTCAATACCCTCAGTAAATGAAGAGAAGCTTAAGAATTATGAAGATGGCTTAAAAGAAACTTCATTTTGAGTGCGAAAGTAGATTTTAAGATTTTAATGCCATTCAGACAGAACTGGATATTTTTACCATACCTTTCAACGTAAATTGTGAAGCAGTGAGGTCAGATTTGCAGCTAGAATTAATTGGGTTGCAATCTAACAATCATCTCAAGCAGTTGTTTTTAAATATACCAAAGCTAGAGTTTTACAAATCATTATCGAAAGTAAGTTTCCAAAATTTAATATCACTCGTCCAGAAAATCAGTGCTATGTTTGCTTCTTCTTATATATGTAAGCAAGTGTTTTCAACTATGAACTTTTAGAAAGAATTATTTCAGAAATAGACTGAGATGAGCATTTAGCCTCGTTCCTTCGAGTCAGTGTATCTCACTTCGAACCATAAGGAACTTTTAAAAATGAAATCGCAATTTCATTTATTTCATTAACGTATTTAAATTGTAATGCTTGTATATTGCTTTTAAAGTTTTAGAAAAATTTATCTCGGCCCGCCATTTTTTTTTTTTTTTTTTTTTTTTTTTTTTTTAATCTTTATCTTATGAAGATTTACAGGACATAGCAACAAAAATCTCTTATTACGCTTTGATTTTATGGATAGTTGTTACGCGTAATTCAAACCGATCTCTGGATAAATAAAAATTTAATCTAAATCTAATAATAATATAGAATTCAAAGCTAAGTAAAACGTATCATTTTGGGAGAATAATCCTTTCCATTCCCTGGCGGAATAATTGTTCCCGCTGATTGAATTTCTAATTAAATGGATGTCCGAAATCCAAATACTTCCGCCAACAGTGTCACTGCGGGAAATCTCGGCCATCCGTCGCGTCCACTCTTCTGCGTTGGCGCAGATTTTATGTTGGATACGTCGCCAAGTATGATTACCCGGAGGACGCCCTGCTTCTCTCGTGCTCTCATCTTCCCCATCCCATGCATCGGGCGTTGCTTAACCATTAGAAAAAGGGACGCGAGATCTGCCGGCGTGCAGGATCCTAGGACCAGCACGCGGCGAATGCCACGGATATGCCACCGGTCGGAACGACTCTCTCGAAGTAAGACGGAAAAAAATACTGTCATCCAATTTGCATTCCTTGCATGTTTTCTGCTGACACAATCCCTTCTTGCACTCTTGATCGAGGTGTCGTCGGGGTCGCCGCAGTGCGCGGTGATGGTGCAATCCCCTTGCGGAGGTGATTGTGATGGTAGGGGGTGCTTTTGAAAGCGGAATCTTGCTTTCGCTCCCTCGTTCTGTGTACACAACAAACAGATTGTTGTCACTTTCGGTCCATAGCGTACCAGCTAAATTCAGCTCGTATGCTGCACTGAATAGAAATGCCTTTTTAAAATATATATATATATGTTTTGCTTATACAGTTAACGTTTCGTACATTATTCTGTGCTAAATTATTGCGTAATATATATACACACACATACACATATGTGTATTAACATTTGTATTTGTCTTGTCGCGATGTCACTGACGTTTTTTGTATAATTAATTTTAAGTTTCGGTGTTACTTAATAATCTATCAACCTAAAAATTTTAAACATGTGTAATGCATGAAATAAATTAATTAGATAGTCTTAAGATATAATCTTAAGAATTATAATCTTACTTAATTTATTATAATCTTAAGAATTTTTCTTGAATAAGATTTTACTTACTCTGTACGGTCTTAATATAATTATTAATTAATTTATAATTAAGATAATTATTCAGATTATAGTAAATCTTATTCAAGTAGAATTCTTAAGATTTTAAGTAAAAATCTTATTCAAATAAGTAAAATCTTATTCAGACAAGTCAATTAATTAAATTATCTTTGAAAATGATTGTTGAAATTTCATAATTTACTAAATTTGGACTCCAAGGTGTTTGAATATTATACGGTTGTGAAGATAATTGGGAAGATGGAAGAATTATATCTGTGAAATAAAATATTTTTATAGTTTGAACTGGATACTAGCAATATAAAATATAGCAGTAAATTTGCGTGCAGATGTATGTTTTAATTTGATATATTTGCTATAGGCGGTAAAAAGCAGAAAAAAAAATTGTATCAAGTATGTTATAATATGGTTATTACTAGTTTTTAGTAGAATGTTTACATAAAATAAGGGAAGAGATATTTATTAACAGATTCTACACAGTTTTTCCTGTGTAGTTAAATAGTATTCTATTCGTTAACTTGTAGTAAAATACAGTAGCATTGTAAACTGAATGCTATTGTAAACTTTGTGTCATATTTATGCGTATTTTACATACCGTTTTCGCTGTTTGCTCTGATTATTTGATTTATATTTAAATCAAACAGCTGAAGTAAGTAGTTAAAAAAATGGCGTAAAGTTTATTTAGTTTGGATATATGTTAAATTAGCAAGCTTTGAGTAACCTTTTCATATTTTCCTAAAATTATGATTCTTTATACATGAGATTTTCAAAACTCATCTTTTCCACGTGTTTGCATATTTTATAGTGTTGTAAAACTGCAGCTTAGTGAAAATGGTAGATAGCCGGTAAACTGGCTTTCGACATTACTGGTAATTAACATTAATTATGTGTAATGCCGAAGCAAATTATTTACGTAATGAACTTGTATTTTTAAACAAGTTTCTTGAATTAAAATGATTTAAATAAGAAAGTTAACGATAAGCAAAGTAAATATATGTATTTATATCATAATTCATATACGTTATTATTTTGTTTGTTAGTGTTAGTTTTGCAAGCATACAAAAGTGTCTTAAGTCAAAGAATTTTTTTAAGCATGTTGTTATGCTGTAATTTGTATTGTTAAAATCTTGAACACTGAAAAAACACGTGTTGTAAATCAACAATTTTATATCTCCTGTAGTTGGTATATATACAAGCGTTAACTGTTTCACGCATTCTTTGCGGAGATTCTTGAAATAAAGTTTGACACCATCCTTGCATCAGATGTCCAGATTCACTAACTCCTTGTCGCACGAAGTGGAAGTTGCTCGTATTTACTTTTTAACCCCCCCCCCAAAGCAAAAGCAAGGAAAAAATCTGAAAGTTTTCATATTTTGACGGTCGCCCAAGGGAGTTTGTTAACGTTTTTTACGCGCTTGCTGCGCTTACAGTCAGTCTACCAGTCTGCTGTTTTACTCACTCCTACTAATCCATTTTTTTTGTCTTTTTAGCTTTATTATTAACATCATTTTCTTTGCACTTACGCCGTATACAATTAAACAGCAAATTTTAAAAGCAGTATAAGAGTATACGTTTAGGGTTCCCGGTGTAGTAGCATTAAGTGTTGTCATACGCTTCTTTTTTTTTTTCCATTCTTTTCTCAGTTCATCATATCAACGTTCAGTTTTCTTACTCAGATGGCTTTACAACACGCTTGTCTTTTATTTATCAACGCTGTTTGAGTGTTAACTTTATTTATTAAATTTCACGTTCATGAAACTTACGCCACATAAAATTCGATTCAACAGTAAAATCGCAAAATATTTAAAAACAGCATATCTTTAGAATTTCCAACAAACAGTCTTGCTCGCTGGAGATAAAAATATTTTCTTCTGTACAGTGACCCCATGCTGGCTTTGAAATCGTTGAGTTTGTTAATCAAAAATTCGTTTTACAGAATAGGAAATAGATAAGAAAACACATTCAAACAAACATCCGTGCTTCCAGATGCTCATGTTCGGGTGGAGGACTTTGTTATTGAAAACTTGATGACTCTAGGTACCATTGCTTTTTCACAACGCGAGAAACATACATACATTCATGCAGATTCATCATTATTTAATTTCTTTAAATATAATACCGTGTGATAATATTTGGTGGCAATAATTTGAAAACTGATTCAATGTATAATACCGTTTCGAGACTAATAGTCCATTTGGGCTGAAAAGAAAAAATAATTAAGGAAATACATTGTTTTTAAGACGTAATGCAGAAATCATTTGCTCTTTTAACTTTTCTTAATCGCAGAAGTATTCGACGTTGACTTGACTATTTTATAAGGAACAGAAATTGTGGAGATTTAGAGATATGGTATAAGTCAGTGGTTTTCAGCATGTTTTGCTCCATGCACTCCTTTCACCACTGCTTTCGCCATTGTAGGATGTTCGTTCTCCCCCCCCCATCACTTTCTAAAACTCGAAACGTGCGCATATATTTATTTAGATTTAGTTTAATTGCAATGTGTTTTTGTAAATTAAACACACGCACATACACATATATGTATATAAGATGAAAAATATGTAAATCAGTTTTATAATTTAATTTAGTAATAACCTTTTAATTCCTGTTTGTTAATTTGGTTATTTCCTCTTTATTATAAAAAAAGTTAGAAACATTTCTGGACTGCGTCATTTCTAGATAAATACGTTTCGCATTACTAGCGTCTGTCCGACCTAAACCAAAACTTTCCTCTCGGTGAGCTTCTATGTTGGACATCTGCGCACTTTAGCTTCTCTATGTGTGCTGCTTGGAGGCAGTTTTGCTGTGCTCTCTTCCTATCGCAAAACTATCAAAAATGTAAATGTTCTGGAAATAGGGACGATTAAAGTGCCAAGTGAATTGTGGCCAAAATATCAATTTAAATAAAAATGGAATTTAATCTGGCTCGACTGCCAAGTTTTTTAGTCATTAACGATTTAACATTCTACGCAATCAGAATTCTTCCTCTTCAATGTGGATCCCGTTCTACGCCAGCAAAATTGCTACGTCTTTGTCTCTTTTTTATCTCACATATATATATTACTTATACATGTATATAAAGAGAGACAGATAATGAATTGCGGACAAACATTTTTACTAGAAGTTCTTTACGAAGGTATTTCCTCCTGACAGATAGTTCTCATTCTCGTTTTGTCAAACAACAATTACATAACTCCTTATCAAATAAAATATCCAATTTCATCATAACAGAAAGTGAAAATGCGTTTCATTGAACATACATTTTAGTTTCTGCCATCTTATTTCGACCATGTTGTTAATTTACAGTTTTTCGTTTTTTGAAGATAACTGAACTATTAGGAAAGCTGAAACAAGAACGATTGAGTAACTTGAATTTCTTAAGACAGTTTAGCTGAGAAAAAGTATCTTATTATAAGCATTAACCTTTTCTTTATAAAAATCATTTTATCAGATCGTGTTTCCAAACTAATTAACGTAAGATTTTAAGTTTGGATTAAGTAGCATTTGTAAAACTTTGAAAAAGTTTACTGTGCTGATAATTTACTACCGTAGTGCTATCTACTCTAAGTGTTTGTTTGAGTGTTCCTAAGAGCTATGTTTCAGTGCTATCCTCCGTAAGAGTTGCTGTGGTGGATTTTTATGTAATGAGAAATCAATTCATATTGACATTACATAAAACTAAGGGGAAAATAACTCATTCACCTGCTTAGAATCAAAATTGGAATGACAGGGCGTTTTAATTTTATACCCGCTTCCGTTTTGTATGCCATGGAGACGGGAAGTTATGTTCAGTAGAACGTTTTTGGTTTGTTTTCTGGAAATAATCATACTAAGCACTGTTTTGCAAAATAACAAACTTAGCATTTACAGCATATCCATGTTAGCATATATTAAAAAAAAAAACGAAACTGTGTTATTTCACAAATTATATCATGGTATGAAAGAATAATGCTTATTTCTAGTTAGATACGTTGCATAAAATTTTAATACTAGGCTTAGAGATTTGCTACTGTAATAGTCATAAATTCTAACATGAATAGCATTTGAATTTTTCTTTATGATCTACGGTAGTGATATAATATGTGATCTACCGCTTTCAATTTGTTATTTTTATTTTAGATGGAGCCACTAAGACCTTATTTTTAAATGTGAAAATAAATACGAATACTTCAGAATACATTAATGAAAATCGCTTAATTTATTCAAGTGTTTGAATATTAGTACCGTCTGCAGAATTGACAATTTTTTTTTTTGATGGTTTACGTTCAATTATCGTATTCTAATCGTCCTTATAAGGACCAATTACGATACGATCAAAATCGAGCCTGCGGTAAAATGTTGAGAAAGAAAATGATAAAACAACAACCTTTTAGAATTTAAGGGA